TTTTATTTTTTTTTTGAAGGGGCGACGGCCTTTAGATATCATCATTGAACTCACCGGCCCCAGGCAATTCAGAATGATCTTCTTCTCTTCATCTCTTCACCTGAAAGTATCTTGATTCGAGCTACAGTCTGTATATTTCAACACTCCACCGTGGGTGTACCAACTGCGCTAGGCCCGTTTTTTTCGCTGTAATCATTTTGATGAACTCACCTGATGCAATCATTTGATGCAATCATTTCATTTGATTGTAATCAAATGTCATTTGAATGCAATCATTTTTTTTTGCGTGTGCAAGAGCGACTTAGTCAGTATTTCATCCATAAGCCCTTTATTCATTCATAGCCCCCATCCGCATTCAGCGCTCCCCATGCTCACATCCCTCCATGGTGTGGAACAAATCAAGCTTAGTAAATGGGGTCCAACTGTGACCATCATCGCTAATCTACAGCCTAGCCTATCTCCATGGCAGATTTGCTCACAGCTCCTTGGTGGTCCAATTGTGATATTCCCTTCGACCCCTCCCCCCCTACTAGTAGCTCCTCGCAAATAGGGTCCACCCTCTTTTTTCTCCGCCACCTCGTCCGTTGCCTCCTCTCAAATCCAGATACTATCAGATGAGCAGAATAAAATCATTCTGAATTACTAGTTCAGAATGATTTTATTTAATTCAGAATGATTTGATTACTGAGGACGACGGCCTTGAGATATTACAGTGGGGGGTAAGTTCACTGATAATACTGGTAATACCTCAAGGACGTCGTCCTTTTGCGAAAAAAATAAAAGTAAAAATAATCAGTCAGTTAGCGATGCCTTGGGGGCTCTGTGGCATCGGGATCGGGATATCGCCCTGGCTCATGGGTCCAGAATGCCCCCAGAACGTCAAGTCAACCACTCAGCAACTGACCGTCATCCTTCCCCTTCTGGGAAAAGGCGTAATACAACGAATGAAGATTATATATATACTCTTCTTCCCTTTCAAAAAAAAAAAAAAAAAAAAAAAGCCTTCTTCCAGTCCTTCGGGACAAAGGATTTTTGGAACGATACACAGAAGGTGGTCCAAAAAAGAAGGTGGTCCAAAAAAGAAGGTGGTCCAAAAAAAGAAGGGTCCAAAAAAAGAAGGTGGTCCAAAAAAAGGTGGTGGTCCAAAAAAAGGTGGTGGTCCAACAAAAGGTGGTGGTCCAACAAAAGGTGGTGGTCCCAAAGAAGGTGGTGGTCCCAAAAAAAAGAAGGGAGACGGAAACAAAAGGAGGAAAAAAAAATAGACTACCCTTTGGCCGACATGCACAACGCAACCTGATCATGAATGCATAATGCATACAAGCTACCTTTCCCGCTAGATTCAGTCATAATGAAGGTGCGTTGTGTTCGGGGTCAGACAGTAGTGGGCCTAACCCCCTTGCGATCGGGCGTCGCTCCACTACTCTCGACATGCACAAAAGACAAAAATCATGGCGGTGTATCTTTCCATGTTCTAGCGGAAGATTCACTCTCGTTTTGTTGCTCATTTCGAGAGTAGTGGAGCGAGGCCCATCTTGTTTATTTCAAAATTGTTTGTTGTTGTTTTTTTCGTTCCGAAACTGTTTTTTTTTCAAAATCGTATGCATTCTTTTTCAAAAATGCAAAAAAAAATTAAAAAATACATATATATATTGTATATATTGTCACGAGTATCAGAGCGCAAATACGAACAAAAAGGAAAAAAGAATGACACGAGAAAAAATGAATTCATTTTTTTATCTTCTTCCTTATAACTCCCCCTGTTCAGAACCTCTTGCGTACAAGGCCGCCCACGTGGATGTAGGTTGAGCGGCGGCTGCCCCCACCCCCGTGTGTCATATCGACCCACTTACACACAGCCAAAAGGCAAAGAGGCAAAGAAAAGAGGAAGGGAACAGCCAAATAAAACAGAACAGGGGGCAACAAAACAGATCCCAGATGACACAAGTCCCACATGCAAGCACCGCCCCAACATACACAGGCCAAACGACGGGACAAGACCAACCAGGATGTCAAAACATTCTTGTCTGCAACGAAATCAAAAGAAGTCCCAGATACGTATCTATACACAGCAGATGGCCTTGTTCGACACATTCCTATTCGGCGTCATCGTAAGCAATTTGTACAGGGAAATGGTCCAAATTTAAATTAAAAAAATAAAATAAAAAAATCTTAGATGATGATTCACACATAAAAGCACCGCCCCCATGCAGAACACTCATATGACTGCTGCTGTTCATTAAAAGCCACGGTGGTCCTTGATGGACATCCGTTGACATTGGAGCGGAGCGATACAGAGGACATGAGCATGGTAGCATGGCCCCTCCCTCCGCAAGCAGGGATGGACACGCACAAATCGACAAATGGGGGGGGGGGGGTCTAACAGGGACGCTGGGATCGGGATCCGGTTTCCACCTCTGCTGATCGCAATCAATCAATCAATAAGATAAGGTCGGAGCAAATCGATCAAAAGAGAACAAAAGACAGAAAAAAAACGTGGACGTATGTTTTTTCTTGTAAAAAGCCTCACTCCACTACTCACCAAATGAGCAAACTGAGAATGAATCTTCGGCTAGAACATGGGCAGATTCATCGCCATATTTTGTCTTTTGTGCATGTGATTTAGTCGAGCTAGGCCCTTACGGTGGAAGTTAAAAAAAAGGGGGGGAAAAAAAGGGGGTTAACAGCTACAGGTGCCTGCCGTCACAAAAAAAGCCACAATGCAGATACGAAAACGCCTCTCCCATTCTTTTTCTTTTTTTTTCTCTTTTTTCTTATTCTTTTTTTCACTTTTCGACAGCCTCGAAATATCTTTTGTTTAAAAAAGGAGCTGATGTTTATTCATCTGCTTCCATCTGGAGTCGAACACAGGTCTGTATTTCAACAAGTTCATTGGCGAAGCAACTGAGCTAGGCCAGCAGTTGGGGACTCCCATTCTGCAAATGCGCACACGATCGTGTAGCATTCACAAAGGAAAGGCAAAAAAGAAAAGGAAGAGATTTTAGGGAAAAAAAAAGAAAAAACAAAAAGAAAAGGAACGACAAAAACAGAAAAACCCTCCCAAACAAATTGGATTAACCTGGGCATAAATCGACTGAGCAATCCTCTATTTTTGTACATTTATTATAATATTACATTATATGAATTACTTCTATTTTATATTTTTTATTTACAATATTTACTGCTATGATTTGTTTGTTCTATTATATATTATATATGTAAATAAATTTGACGAATCAAAAACATGCATATTGATGTGTTGTGTAGAGCAGCATCATACACGAATTGCAGGATAATTTCGAAGACGTCAACAGCAACACCCGCCACATTCACTTCTGGAAGACAATGAGCTCTCCCCTCGCGCTCAGAGACAACCGCACCGGCCGCCATAGCCGCCGAGCCCTCTAGAAAGCCCTCCATCCCCCCCAACAACACCTTGAAGTACTCCGACCGCGCTGCCAGAATAAACCGATGGCAGCGGAACCTCCCCCTCCCATCATCAACCACCATACACACATCCGCGTAATCTTCTTCTTCTTCTTCTTCTTCTTCCTCTTCTTCTTCTTTTCCGCCATCGCCGTCCTTCCATTCACTTCTCCTCTCACACGGCTCCCTCTTCCACCAGAGCCGGTGAGCACCCCTTACTTCTTTGGGACCGACTTTTCCACTCCAATCACTGCTGCTGCTGCTGCTGCCGCCGCTGCCGCGCTTCATCGCTTCGCTAGCCAATCCTTCCGCTGTCGGGACCGCGGCTTCTCCCTCTCCCGACCTCCTCTCCTCGTCGGGACGCTGCTCGCCATGCGTCTCCTTCTCCTGCCCGTCCCCATCCACTCCCCTTACACCCCCTCCCTCTCTCGTCTTCTCCAGATCTTCACTCGCGGGAATCCCGACGCTACCCCCCCCCCGATTCCTGCTGATACCCCGATCGTCATATTCCGCCGCCGCCGCCGCCCCCCCCCCCCCCCCCCCCCCCCCCCCCCCCCCCCCCCCCCCCCCCCCCCCCCGCCATCGAATTCCGGTGCGTCCGTTGATTCGCCCTGCGCAACAGCGCGCTCAACTGCGCGCCGAGCCGATCCTCCAGCGCCAGCGATGACGCCTGCAGAATGAACCGCTTCGGCTTCGTGTCGATGCGGCGCACGGATTTGTACTCCGCGTAGCGCGAGTGCACCATCTCCTTCTCCACAGCTCTCCCAAGCCCCGCGCACTTGCACGCCTTGCATATTCTCGCAAGGGGTTCCATGTCTTCCACAGCCACATCCAATCGATCAGTGTAGAAGAACTGCAGCAACGCGTGAAAGGCAGAGTACTTGAGGCGCGGCGACGAGAGCCGAACTTCGGACCTGCCGCGCCATCGCACGCGCAACATCTTCCGAAAAAACGGCGACCGCGCCGCCAGCAGCGCTTTGTGCACGATGATCCGCTGCCCCGCCACGTGGATCTCTAGATCCCCCCACCATCCCTCCGCATTGAAACACTCCCTCAGGTTGCGCGCCAGCGGATCTAGCGGAGGAGGCCGCGCTTCATACGACTTCAAGATCCCGCGGATCCGAAGATTCAAAGCGGCGTAATGACAGCGATCACCGTCGAAAGTGTACTCGTCACAGAGCGCTCCCGCCTCAAGCAGCAGACACGTGGCATCCTCATGTCCCGCCAGACAGGCGTAATACAACGGGACGGAATCCCAACGGTCACGGGCATTCAAATCGACCCCGTGTTCAATCAGTTCTCTCAGCCTTTCGAGATCCCCCGCACGTGCTGCCTCATAAATGGTCCCGCTCGGCGTCTTCTTCCTCCGCCTTCTCGTCAATAACCGCGGCGGCCTTTGCTCGTCATCGCCATCGCCATCGCCATCGTTGTCGTCGTCGTCGTCGTTGTCCTCTTCTTCTTCTTCATCCTCCGTCATGATATAACCGTCGTAACCTTCATCCCGATCCCGATCCCGATCCGGCGCCATAAAGGAGGTGAGACCATCTTCTCCTTCCCCCACTTCTCCCTCTCCTCGTTGACCATCAGCCTCACCAACGCGTGAGGAGAGAGTAAAGCCGCCCTGCTGCCCACCATGGTCGTTCTCCCTCTCCTCCTCCATGACCCTTCCTTCTCGCCCGCCTCCGCTCGTTACCGCCGCCGCCGCCGCCGCCCTCAATACAAGGAATTGGCTTTGTCCCGCGCTCAGGGGCGCATCGCTCGGGTCTCTTGAATCGCTCGGAGCGCGCGCAGTCACCACCTCTCCTGCTCTCTCCTCGCGCCCGTACTCCGCATGGCTCTCTCCCCCACCCGCCTGGGCTGCTGTCGCTCTCGCTGTTGACGTCATCTCCAATTCCAATTCAATCCAGGAGCGATTTTTCTTCGGCGAGAGCGCTATTCAGAAACTCCGCTAGCGCAGGACTACAGAAGACAGCAGGAGAAGGAGGACATCAAGGGAAGGGCGTCAGAAGCGGAGGAGGAGGAGGAGAAAAGAAGGGAGCAGAGGATGAGGAAAGAGACAGGTGGGAAGAAGGATGCAATCCTCCCCCCCCCCCCAGTACAGAAAAAAAAAAAAAAAAAAAAAATGAAGGCGCTTAATGTAGAGTGAGAGACAATAGAATCTGCTGCTGGTGCCTGGCTGCCAATGACCGCAGCCACCCCTGCGGCTCACTCTCCGCGCCAGCGACGATAGCCTCTTCCGCCTGGGCGCGCGGGGCTCTGGCCTCCGCCGCCATTCTATTCATCAGATTACCCGCCGCCTCTTGCGCCTCCTGTACGCCTCGATTCCAACACCACCTTCTCCGCCCACCTTGCGCCTCTATCGCTCTACCGCTCGCGCGAATACAGCCGTACATCTTCAACGCCGCTAAAAATAACCAGATCGCCCAAGTCAGCAGCACCAGAACAACGGTCACACAGAGGACACCTTCAGCACGCCGCTCCTGTCTGCCAACTAATGATGACCGTGAGCTCCCCCCCCCCTCCTTTCAGAAAAGAAGGCTATCAAACCAATCAATCAATCACCCAACCAACCAACCAATCAATCAATCAATCAATCAATCAATCAAACGATGACTCAAATAATCAATCAACCAACCAATCAATCAACCAACCAATCAATCCATCCATCAATCAACTCGATTAATACGACAGATCAGCAAACTAAGGAAAAAATCGATCGGTGAATCCATCGGTCCATCGGCTGAGGTTGTCATCCATTGTATATACCACTCTCCTCTATGGCAGCTCAAGAAAATCAAGGAAAGAAGACATATGGATCCTCCTTCCTGAAGCATGGAGAGGAGATATTTGGCTCCTCCGTCTCGAGGCTACCAAGCACAGTGAACTACCGCTTGCCTTACTGCTTGATGAGATGACTGCCTAAGGGTAATCTTTTTTTTTTTTTTTTTTTTTTTTTTATCTACGGGTAATCTGATGGCTGTACTGAGGCGTTGAAATGGGGTCTTACCAACGGGCCTACCTCAGTACAGCCAAGAGCCGTTGAAATGCAGACCTGAGTTGGAATCCGCCAGTAACTATATATGAATGAATTCTTTTTTTTTTTATCAGTTTATATGAATGAATTCCGGAATTAGGGCCTCGCCACACCGCTCTCGAAATGTGAAAAAGACAAAAACGTGGAGGGTGCATCTAGTCGTGTTCTAGCGGAAAGTTCATTCTCATTTTGCACATTTCGAGAGTGGTGTGGCGATGCCCTTAGCTGGGGCCGGGCAGTTTGACTATGATATTTCTAAGGCCATCACCACAAACAAAAGGAGATCACTTTTCACTTTTTCAATACCTCTGTTCGCAGCCCGTCAGGAATGCGCTTGCCCCCCCTGAGACATTCAACGTCCCACGTCAAATTTCAACGTCGTGGTCGTCGGGAGGGTGGTCATTTTTTGGTTTTGGGGCCTTGCAAGGGCCAGGACCGCGTAGGACCGGTAGCTGCGCGGTCCAGGACCGGTAGCGTGCGAGTAGGAGGCCGAGGAGGCCGCAGTCCTTTTCGAAATTGAAACGGTGCCGGTAGTCCTTTTTCGAAATTGAAACGGTGCAGGTCCTACACGTTGTATTCGAATACCTGTACTGTACCCTTTCTATTCGGATTTCGAAAAGAAAAAACTCTTGTATTCCGATAAAATTACTTCTTTTTGTTGGAGGTCAGCGCCTGCCCTTGTGCTCCCCGCCATTGACATGCTGCTTGCTGCAGCTCTCTCTCTCTCTCTCTCTC